CTGATTCGGCAATGATCGTTGCGTTCGCATTTTATTCGCATTTTGTAATTCTCATGGCCCGGAAATCGATACACTCGAATTCCAAGAACGCGAAGAATTTGTGCGAATGTGCCGCTCGCCGGCGAATAGCTGTCTTTCTCTTCTCGGTTCTTGAGCGTGCAGAAAATTTACTCTTTCGCTCAAACTACTCGACATAACGAGAACAGCGGAACATACCGGTTTTATCCGGCATAGTACGATCAGCCGCGGATAAAAATAATACGGGATTCCGTTGTACCACCAAAATTCACTTTACTTCTGTTAAAACTTTTCTTCTTGAAACGTTCTGTTCTTGTGTACTTACGCGTTTATCGTACCTCTCGTATCTACTGGGTTAAGTGAAACGCTCTCTGAAATATAATGGAATACGCATTTTTATTCAAGGTCAAAGCAGTGCCGTGATACGTTAAGAGCGTTATCTTTTTTGAGTCGCATGCGTGAGAATATTGCGTATTGCGGCGTGACGATAAGACGACGTTATCGCACGTGAAACAAGAACATAAGCGCACGATGAGATCATTTCGCGAGTCTCTCCATCGGAATTGTAATCACTTCGATATATTTTCGATTTGATTTTTCACGAGGAATCATTCTCTTTTCACATCCTGTACGTGCGATGCAGGTTATATAACCATAAAACATTACGCTAATTAAAAGCAAATGCTTCTATTTATTTTTAATTACTCAATGAAACAAAGTGTACTCGAGATTTGCTATCTATCGCGCCTTAATCACAAAATTTTTATATCAGTATATCTGATCGAAAATCGTATATGCAATATTTCTATTGATAAATATGCTACGTCTTATTGATCTTATTATTCATATCGCAATTTTATATCGCAATAATTGAGATTATATCGTCTGTTCGACTGAATAATCAATCTTAATACTTACGTGATAATATCGATTACATTTAGACGTAATACACACTATTGTATAATAATATTATTAGCTGTTAATCTTGAATTCTTTTTATCGATCTTTTTTATGAACTCATATATATAATGTCTTGAAGTGATATCCGGTTTTGGAATGTTTATAGGAATACTATTTGCGTGAGAAGTTTTTATATTGCAGTTAATAATATCTTATAAGTTTTTTTGCAATTGAGTCAGTCGTCATTAAACTACAGGTGTACTTTTTTCGTCTTAAAATATTTTGTATATTTTTACACGCACGACACACATGTTTAACATCTTGCGAATCGATTTGTCGACCAGGAAGCAACATTCAGCTCTCGTGTCATTATGAGAGCGATGAAAGAAAGTGAGAGATAGTCGTTTCTTCCAACAATACGTAGCACGATATTTATGTAAACGTCAACGACAAAACGATCGACGTAACACGAGATTATCCACAAGATTTTTCACGAACTCAGCCGTTCTCAAGCTTCTTTCTGATACAAACGTAGTAGAATGTGCCTGGCATCGCGATACAAATAGTCGTTCCATCGCATTCATGGTCGACGTTATATTTGCCAAGATCGTCCTCCACACGCAGTTCACGTGTTCGACAGTGCTTCTAGTATAAATATTTGAAACGAATCGCATTGGCGAACGGTGGTGCTAGAGTGGTGCGCTTCTTTGTCGAGATTGAGCGTTGTTCGCGCTCCGCGATTTGGTTTGCATAGGAATCTTTTTTTAGGCGCAATATTCGCTCGTCGATGAGACAAATTTATTCGATAATTGCATCATGATGTTACACGTAGCGATTATGTAATCAGCCTGTATTGACGCATAATTTGCTTTAATTCTTCATCGATTCTTCGCGTATCTTTTTTAAGATATGGTAAAATCAAAAAGTGTAAAGGAATCTTTTGATTTCCAATCAATTGGAAATGTCTCTTCAAATATTTGAGAATCAAGAAAGTTCCTTTTGACTTATGTATGTATGTTACGCTTTGATTTGCCGAAGAATCCTTATACGTAAATATATTGAGTAATTGCATATAATTACTCAGCACATATGTCAGTTTTTCAAGTGATTTTCAGAAGCAAAATGTATGTGTGTAATTAAACAAATTCCAGAATTCTCTACACATACACACTACGGAATGAAAAAGTTTCATAATTTTATTTCAAATGTAAAAGGAAAAAGTTGAAAGCAAAACCAAATTTTCAACTTTATATTTGAATTCATTCGCAAAAAACCAAAGCTGGAAAAAGTTAATAATCAGAAACATATTATTAACTTCATTTCATTTTTCTCACTATTCCATCTCTTTCCGCTGTAGAATTTGTGGTGCATTATACGCACTGTTTCTGTAAAATTATGTTTGATTTAAAAAATTGTAATATAGTGTTACGCATGAATTTCTCACTATAAAGTTTTTACACACTTGTACGATGTTGTTTTACCATTGACACGAGACGTAATCAAAGAGAAAGGAACGAGAAACTGCAAGTTAAGACATAATGTCGCGAGGGACGCGTAAATAGGCTGATTCGTACGCGCAAATAATTGCGTACTTTTGCAGTGTAAACGCGAAAAAGACCAAGACATAATTCAGTTGCAAGGAAACGCTTCGCGGGAATTGCATAACACGATCAATGCAGTTTTGTGCATCATGCCAAACAATGTTATGCTCGATGAATTCGGTAACGTCTTTGCATAACGCTGCATTATCGCGCCTTTATCGCATTCAGTAAGAGCAGATTAGCCATGAGGGTCTTCATCGATTGAAATTCTGCTTGTGCAACATTTCGATTTATAATAAGGTGCGTAATATTGTGCTCCGGTTATAAAATTGAATCGATAGCGTGAAGCGATTACCGCTTGCGGCGATAAGATTGCGATGCTCGCTATAGAGATTTAACACGAAATCACGATTATCTATTACAAAGGAGTGAAGCTTATCGTTAACATTTTTCAAACACGATCGAGCAATTGAATAACGCATCAACGGTCACTCGGGTCAATAACCGTTCGGTGAAATCGTTGTCACGTTGTCGCGCGAGGTGTGTAAATCGCGCTTCCTTATCTTGTTGTCGCATCACCGTGGATGCGAATTAAAGTCGCCGATGACAATTAAGAGTTATTATGAGTTAAAATCAGCTCGCGGACTTTGACGGGCGAATAATGTGACTGACGTTCGTTGAGTGTCGTTGATCAAAATAGAATTTTTCAATGCTTTTCCTCTTCGTAATGCGTAACGCCATTGTCGCAAGAACAAATTTATTGGCATTTAATGTTATTTAATCGCGATAATAATGTCGCAATAATAATATCCTTTTCACGCGACGCAGCGACTTTACGACATCAGCTAGAAAAGACGGAAAATCATTACTACGGGTGGTGTGACCCAAAGTGGCTTAGGCGCTTACAGATTGTAAATTTGAAACCTCCCAAGAGCGTTCTCATTACATCATGACCTCTGACCTATTTACGGATATACGCATACAGGCGTGTTTATTGGTAGATCGCGCGCGTCGACGTGTAAAATTTTTCTAGAAAAAAAAAAGGCTGAAAGAGGCGCATAACTCGCGACTATATTGTATTATTGCGCAACGCGGCAACTATAGAAAAGGTGAAGGATACAAAAAAAGAACGGTCACCAGTGTACGGCAGCGGCCGCTGATGAACCACTTTTCTCTCTCGCAAACACGTAAAGCCATTATTAGCTGTTTTCGCTGGACATAAACACATCTACAAGCAGTGTGTCCGAGGGTTTCGTCGCGTGTTAGTCCCATCGCGTTTCAGCTCTCAAGGATTCATTCCGAACTTCCTCGATTACATCCCAGCACTCGCCTTCGTATACAATGACACAAGTTCGCACGTACGCGCCGGTAAACACGTACAGCTCATAAATTAGCGCAAGCCGCGCTTTGCATACGTTACATACGCAAGTAAGCGAGCGTGTACTTTCTCGTATACATTGTTACGCGTATATGAACGCGTCTCCGTCGATAGCTTCCTTTCACGATTGTTGTAACGATGTTGATTGCCCGTTTACCTGATGTTGCGCAGTCAACACTATGATAATCGCATTTTAAAACTAGCACGCGCAATCATGGATCGTGAGTCACGAAGTATCTTCAATCGTAATTAACAATAAGCTTCAGTGAGCAAAGTGTTGGCAGATTGATTGCAAATGCGATCAAACCTGCTGCTAACATTGCTAAAATTTAGCTATCCGCTGAGTAAACGAATAAATCGTAGGATTTCAATTTTTTTTTTATATATGCTTTGCTTGTTCCTTGCGACATTTGAGATCGAATATTGATAAAAATAAGACAGAAAAGTGTTATTTGTTTATTATGTAGTTTATTATTAACGACGTAAAAAGGTTTAATTATTTTAATCAGCAATCCCGTCGCAATATTCCCATTCTTCGTCTTCGGTGTCAATTGGCGCTGATGGAGTCGCCGTCTCGGGCTTTCCGATACCTAAAGCGGTCAGCATCCCTGTTTAGGCGAGTTTAGAACAGAGATTTGTGTTAATCAACTGAGTCTGATTCTGCAGAAACATTTTTTATTATAACAATAACGAAATTTGAATCGCTTATAATTATATCAAAACGCTTGAAACGAAACGCGGAATTTATATTAAATTTTTTGGAATAAATTCTTTGTACCGTAGCCATTTTAAATATGTAATCGCAATAATGTAACGAGCGCACGGCAGTTGAAACACGTTGAAATACGTTTAGCAAAGTACAAAAGTGTGCTTTACACCTTTTAACTTTTTCATCACATCCACTTTCTTGTCTTGTGCCTCGTCTTCCGTCTTCGGCTTCTTTACATTTTTATAAATCACATAGCCAATGTCGAATATGTGATTAAACACAAATTGAGCAGTGCAGAGTACCATAATGACGAGAATGGGCAGACAGAGACTGGTCTCGTAGTCGTCGAGGGACAAATTGACCGATTCCGGTAGTAGATCACTCGACATTCTCGCTCGGGCGTCTCGTTTTTTTTCGGGTTAACTTTTGCACTTTAACTTTACGATATTTAAACTTTTACAAAACAGTCGGTTTTTTGAAGATCATTATCGCCTTGTCATCTCCTTCACATTGTGAAGTTACCTAATCTTACAATTTTCTATATATTTGTCCGAAAATGGAGTTACAATATCTTGTCAATTTCTTACGGAGAGAAGAGATCTTCGTATCGTACTCATATGTTTGCAATTTGCCGAAGTGAACTTGGCGGCGATCGGCTTGAATTTTTATGTTTAGTTCAAGCGCGAAAAGCAAGTGAACGAAATGAAAATGTCATTTAAGAATTTTACTTCCGATTATTACAAGAGTTATCAATGCGAAACAAGAATGAATTTTTAAACATATAGAATACTTTATACATACTGCGAATTAAATTCGATTAATCAACTTATGACATGGCTATTTCATCGTCCGTGAGATCTATTCCTAATGGCATTTCTGTGTCAGTGAAGAAATCTTCCTCGTCGAAGGCGTCGCCCTCGATCTGCCGGAAAATTTCCACTTTTTTCGATCGCGCAGTGATTCTTGTTATATCGCTCGGAGTCGATTGAGACGGCAGAGTAATGTCGAATTCTCCCTCGGACAAACAATAATCATGATATTGGGAGAACTGAGAGGATATCGAGGGAGAAGCCGCTGTCGAGTTCGCAGCGATATTAGATTCTAAATTTGCTTTACATTGTGTATTTTGCAATATTATTGTTTTCTGGCTGCTCGCATAGGATGCGCAGACGTAAAATCGCGGATCGTTAACGACACTTCCGTGACAAATCGATCGTTCGGTAAACGACTGTCTCTCCGTCGCGTTCGAATTGAGTAGTCGCAGCGGGCTAATATCGGTCGTTGGAAACTGACGTGAATTAATGATCGCTGCACTTCCGTCGGCTGTGTTCATATCAGACGAAATTGTCGTGCGATTCACGATGGCCTCGTGCACCAATAAATTTGTTCGACAAAGTTTCTGATTGTCGGTTTCGGCAATTTCCATTGCTTCGTTCTCCGTTGCACGCTCTCGGTGATCCTCGTTCCGTTCAGGCAATTTAAATAACAACGTGTTGTCGCTCGTTTCCATCGCTGAGTCATTTTTCGCTGCATCAACAAAACTCCTCGTGTCTTCCCTGTGTTTTTCCTTACATTTCTGCGCGACACCTGCAGATTTTGCAGAAACTTGCGTAATCGTCGAAGATCGTTGCCTGCGTTGTTTTTCCAGATCCAATTGCTTCATCACGTTTATTATATTTGCGAAGGTGAAGCGATTATCCTTCAACAGGGCGCGTAATTGAACGATCACGTCGTAGCATGATTTCCCCCACGATACAGAATTCGCGCCGGATTCAGGATTGCTCTGCAAAAGGCAAGATATTCGAATTATATTTGACAATGTTTGTTAATGTTCGATAATTGCGTGAAGATGAATATTTGTACATTCGCAGCTCGTATCTGCGTGCCGATCGACTGCTTGGATGCGTATTCTCGCGCTTTAGTCGTGACGCATCTCGGTAGAGAGGACACTTCCGCTAAAGCGATGCCATAGTGATCGGTGATTCCTGTTCCGCAGTTCAGTTTGTGAGTGTAAATCAGATGCAGCTCGCTCGATTCTTCCGCTTCCGTGGTTTTCGTCTCGAAGCAATGTCTGAAGCGACGTTAGCAATAGCAATAATATTGTATTTGATTTCGGCAATAAGTACAGGTATATTTCGTGCAAGACTTTTACATACGTCGTCACATTGTAATATATATTGCTCAGCGCGGTCAGATGCAAAAAGTGCGTCGCGGCAAATGTGAACGCGGTCGTCAACGATAATCTCTCGCATATTGACCAAGCGATAGCCGAACCTTCTTCGACCGTTGTGTGTCTGCAGAGCTCGTCCAGAACCACGAGAGACCTGGTGGTGACAGATTGCAGAATGTACTGCGCTTCTTTCATCTGAAATTGAAAAAAAAAAAAAATAATTAACTGTGCCGTGTCGAATATAATTAGCTATCGATCTTCACAGTTTTATATTGAAAACTTTCGTTGGATAATCATGAAGCCAAGCAGCACGACTTGGCACTTGAATGGGCGCTAATTGGTATTCATATTTTCGACGAAGAAATTTGTGAAAAGAAGATCGATCTCTTCTGAAAATTGACGACATAAAGAAAAATGAGTTGCAACGCGCTTACCTCGAGGACGTAGGCGGACGCATTGAGTTCGACGTCGTCGCGAGAACTTATTCTACAAAGTATACGATCTGCAATGCGAAACGTTGCGTTGGCGGCTGGCACATAGGAACCGATCTGCAGAAATGCAATATTGGTGAAAAGATCGACTTGTTGCATTGTGCGCGAAATGTTCTTGTATAAAGTCTCGCGATGCAAATGCGAACGCGGTATAATAATGCAATTCGAATTTAATTGGACATTTTATGTGCGTTCAACGTATTACCTGCGCCATGATTTGAAGTAGAACGATCTGCTTCAAGTACGTGGATTTGCCGCTCATGTTTGGCCCGGTGATGAGATGAAAATTATATGCGGTCGAAGCTTTCTGCGTGTTGGAAAGATAAGTAGTCACAGATATTTTTACAATGTCACAGCGTCGAACACTCACTACGTCATTAGACACGGGAAGATCTCTGTTGAACAATTCCATAATGGGATGCAACGAGTTTACGAGCTCCAATTTCGATCCGAACGCTGGTCTCACGTATTCCGGATTACAACTGATTTGCGCCAACGACAACACCAAGTCCAGTTCCGCCACATCGGCACTCAGTTGGAATAAGCAGCCGACGTGTTGTCTTAAATCCTCCAGCAAATTAGTCAGCAATCTGCAAAGTGTTCTCTTGGCAATATAACGCGCAGTGATACAACATTGTTTTCATAATTTACACAGCTTACGTGTTACTCATCACGTAAATCTCTTCGCACGCCTTCTTGCACTGCTTGTTCAACGTCAGCAGTGCCATTGTCGTCATCGTTAGGGACCTTCTGCTTTTTCGCGCCTGTGTGCACAAAAGTGTAAGTTGGAAATAATGGAGAAGTTCTTCTTCCGCGTTGATCGGCGGATTACCTGAATAAATTCCGCCGGCAAATCTGAGATTTTCACGTCCTGGCCTCGCGGCACGATAACATTTATGTGGTAGCCCAAGTTCGCATTATATTCCAAGGATAACGGAAGCTTGTGCTGGACGGCTAACTGCTCCACCGTGTCTATTTAAGTAGATCCGCAAGGCTATCAATGTTCTTTCCTTCGCTTTTGCATACACGATGCAGAGCTAGATATATTGCACGCATAACAGATGATGCGCTCACCTTTCATGTCGCTGATCAATTCGCAATAAATTTGCCGAGCAACGTCCAATAATTCATTGATATCGGCCTTTATAGCGAAACACCTCTGCATGCTTAAGGAAGTGCATCCCTTTACGAATCTCGCATCCGCGTGTATCAGTGTCAAAATTTTATCTTTCATGACGCGAAATTCAGAATCGCTCAAATTCTGCAAATACAAAACATCATCGATGCGGTCGCGCGAACATAATTCGTATCGTTAAATTTCAGACCTGTCGAGTTTTTATGAAGAAGGGATGAACACCGGTCGCGAGGATCGCTTCCAGTTCGGGTATGATGTCCAGACAATTCTTCAAGAGCAGCGCGTAGTTTAAATTGCGCTCCGCACTTTGTATGTTGTTGACGTGTACAGGTTTAATCGCCAACGTCAGTAAGCGATCCGTGCCGAACAGGCGTTGTATCACCGGCTGTAAAATACAGATGTAAAATACACGCGGATATTTTTTTTTTTTCAAATACCCGCAGCTGCTCGTGATCGCTTGATCACCTGAAGACTGATGCACAAGGAGCGATTGTCCACCAGTTCCGCCACGCAAGATTGCCGATTCACGATGAGACGCTCGTCGCAGGAAGGCTGGAGAATGGAAGCACGCAGGAGTCTTCGGCCCATAGGGGTCAAGCAGCGATCCATAGTGCCCAGCAGGCTGACGATGGAATGCTTGGACTGCGAGACCACCAGTTCGAGACTTCGGGCACTTTCTAGATCTGCGCAATAACGATCAACATGCAATGCCGTCCACTAATGAGACTTGTGCCATCGGATTTGTAGTGCAGAATTCTGTTACCGATCATCGTGGTATTCGGCGATCCTTGAAACTCTATACGCATCGATTTCGGAGCGTAAACTATGTGCTGAACATATTCCACGTATTTAGTTAATGCTGCAGCAGCCGCTAAAGACGTAATATCTACGGGGAGTACAAAATACAATAAGGTGTTCTCTCTCTCTCCCCCCTCCCTCTCTCTCTCTCGCATTATTGAATATGTCAATTTTGATAGCGTTACTTTTGTTTCACTATTAATTCCACGCTCGAGTAGTCCTTGGCGCATAGAGTTCGCACGCGTTCCATGCCAGTCGATTCGTTAAAGTGTATTCGCGAGATCGGTGTGATATTGAGTGCATTGAATTTCTCTTTGATCGATTTGTACAGTTTGTTCCCGTGGCCTCGGTTCTCGTACATCGTTTCGGGCATCAGTATCTTGAACGAGAGCAAGACATAAAATATGATCGCTCTCATCGGATTAAAACATTCTCTTTGATTAGCTTTCGAATTTTTAGTTCACTTTACGTACTTCTATCGGATCGAGAATGTTGATTTTCGTCAGTGTATTGACATATGTCTGACAGTCGCTGATTTGACAGAGAATCAAGTTTGGATATTGAAGATCTATCGCAGCCAAGCCGACCTCGTTCCTAGCATCTCCTCGGCCGGCTGTTATCGCTATCGTAGATACGCGTACGTCAATAAGATGGAATTAATTTCTCGCGATTTTATTATTTCAAAATTAAAATGATATAAGGCTCATATGATTTTCAAAATCAAAATTATTA